CTGGGGAAGGGTTTCCTTAGTTTGTGGATTTTTCTAACAGTTTTGGTCTAATAAAACAACTTTGGTCTTATAAAAATTAACATCTCGCCCTACAAGAGTTGCCTCACTCGTTTCTCTTGACCTCCAGTGGTCCAAAACCACAAGATGAGATGCACCAGCTCTCCAGAAACCAGGTGTGACTCAGACTGCTGGAAACGCTCCACTTCCTGAATTCAGACCAGTTGTAATAGGAGCTTTTACCCACTGCACTTCTCATCCTTGGTTCAAAACCCTTTAATTCTGATGAATATTGGTCAGGATTTTACTTTAATTTAAGTATACATGAAACTTAGTGAAAAACTCTTGTCTAAAAGTGATCCAAATTCCATGATTCCATGTTTACGATAACTCAGGTGCTACATAGGTGGATTTTACTTGGTCTTAAGTAAAGTATGTGGCTTTCTTTCCTGACCTTGTGCACACTGCTATAATGTGCAGCTACTCCACCACCAGCTCATTAGCCCGTCGTAAAAATCTCTGAGATAATTTAAGGGTGAATATAGTGAGGGGGGGAAAAAACCCAAAAAAAAAAAAAAAAAAAAAAAAAAAAAAAAGCTTAGCATGTGAAAGGGAAAATAGTGGGAGGAGGGTAAAATCACCAGGGTGAAGTACAACATGTTCAGCAGACTCCCGTCCCTTGGCTGCCTGCCCGATGACTTTCCCGAGCGGAGCTCTCCTAGCAACCGGTCCCCAGCCGCTTGAATTTTTATGTATCGCTATGTCGGCGGTGATGTCACGGTTTCCATAGCTACTATCAGTTGGAGGAACGATGACACTTATGCTGCTCGGTAACTGAGGGAGGGAAAAAAAAAAAAAAAAAAAAAAAAAAAAAGAAAAAGAAAAAAGAAAGAATAAAAATTGCCCTGACTGAAATATTCCGCGGAACTCTGGGAGCCGGCGAGCACGGAGAGCCCGGCCGAGCTTTTTGCTGATGGAGCCTCTCGCTCCTCGTGCTTTAGGCAGGCACATCACAGCTGCTGCAATATTCACCCTCCCCTAAGTGCTCCATTGTAGAAATTAAATATTGTTATTAATTAAACTCCCCCATCCCACAGGCTGCCCAGCCCTGTCTGGTTAGAGCACACTTGTGAGAAGAGAGCAGGCAATCCATTTGTCATGCGGTGACAACTTCTGGCATCGAGAATGGAGTGTTTCAATAAGAGAAGGCTTTGATCCTATTCATAACAGAGTATTTAAATAATTGCTAACCAGGCAGGGACTTCAGGCATTATCCCAAGGAGTGTTGCATTATTGCAAAAGGTTAAACTGAGCCATTGGTGCTCAGGCAAAAAAGAAAAATAGGAGGGCTCAAGAAATTTGGTCAAGGGATTAAGTCTGTAGGCATGGCTTTGCTAATGTGAAATAGAGCAGAGACCAGGAGATGGTCCGGACACAACGTTCCCTGAGAATGAGCCTGGAACATGGCACAGAGGAAAAAAACCACAGCACTTGCAATCTCACAGCCAATTGTTTGGATTGCAGCAACTTCCAGACTCAAGTCAGGGAGCTTTTGACAGTACTTGGAATTTTACAAAAGTACAAAATACTGAATGTTCCCCACAATGACAATGTTGTTCTCCTCCACATTACCAAACCTTGCTCACTGTTCTGGGGGGCTTCATGCATATTAAGTGATCAAATGCTAATAATAAACCTCTGTTGGTTTGTACCTCTCAGGCATTGATAGCAAAACTTTGAAGGAGTTTTGCTCCTGTGAAAAGGCTGCCTTTTCACTCAGTTAAACCACATCTTTCCCACTAGGGTTATTCTTAGCATGGTCTATCAAAAGTAAAAAAATCCTCCAGAAACAATCCTAGAAAAAAAGTCCTGACAATAAATAATCCTGAGAAATGACATTTTGGCCAGTGCTGGACAATGTGTGGTTCTCACATGGGATGTTGAAGGGATGAAATAAGCTTTTCTGTGATTTGTGTTTGTAACTCTTTGGGATGTGTCTGTGAAGGGAGTGAGCTGTTCAGCACATGCTGTTCCCCAGCCTCACAATGCAGACCACTTCCCCCAGAGATCGTGTCCTCCCTGGTGCTGTGACCATCTCTGCAGGTCTGTCTCACAGTTCTTCGTGTAGCTGGGGCCAGCAGCACCTCTCTGAGATTAAGATAACCACAGATTCAATTTAGGCACTTACATATGACTATCTGGCATCTAAATGCCCCTTGTAGTGGAAAAAGAGAGAATTAATACAGCTGAGACTCCAGGGTGCTGTTCAGGTTCCCAGGGTAGACACCTGCCTTTGGTCAAACCATCTCTAAGGTTATCTGATGTGAACTGAGATTCAGCTTCCAGCCACAGGAATCCCATGTCATTTCTGCACATTCAGGTGGGATGCATCAGGTATTTCAAATGTCTCCAGAATCTTCTTTCTTAGTTCTCCACATGCTTGTAGACATCTTCATGCAGACATCATAACCTCTGAGCTGCTTTCCACTAATGTCTTCTATGATAGCTGTGGCCAGATTCAGTTCTTCTATATTGTCATGCACCTTGGATGTCCTACATATCCTCTCTGGTCTCCAGCTGCTGCTCCAAAACATCCCAGGTCTCCTGTAAACCCTTTGTTCTCATCTCCCATCCCTTGTGGCTTTCCCTGTGGGGTTCCCACACTCTAGAGCTTTCCACGGAGATTTCCAGAACAGAGGCCACGCCTTTGGTCCGTAATTCAGTGCTCACCATCCAGGCTTTGTTGCAGTGCCTGAGCAGCCTCAGTGATGCTGCTCCACCTGTGTAAGATATCCCCATGTGTCCTTTAGCCCTGTGTCCTACCCTTCAGCCAGCTGTGCACAGCACCAGCCTCCCTCTGCCAGCCTGGGGACAGACAGACACCTTCCAGACAACTCAGAGGAGAAGGAAGATGTAAATTGCACCCACCAGTATCAGAGGTGCTGAAACAACCACGTTCAGCCAGATGAGTCATTTCACCTCCGTGGCACTGTCCCTCTCCGAGCAGTGAGCTGGGAAATCAGGACATGGATTCTCACCGTGTCACCCCTGCTTGCTTTATCTGAGATCCCTCTCAGGCCAAGCCAGCACTAGGTGGGTGATCTTCACATGATCAGACAACTGCACACTTGGCAAGGGCGCTGTGATTCCACGACCTACAGGAGTCACAAATGCACACATCATTCCCCTGAATGGTGGGATAATGCCTACACTCACCCCTGAGCCTCTCACACAGGCACTGGTGCTTTATTTCCCAGGAGATAATTAGATTTGCTAGCAACCGTGTGCCTGCTTCCAAGTAATGCTGGATATGCTATTTTCAGGCATGATTCAGAGTAACCTACAGCAGCAGCTCAGGGTTTTTTTGGCAAGTGTTTTGCAACAGCACAGTAAAGTTTTTAATGTGCCATCATTTCATTTCAGTTGTTAACACAGATGTCTGTTGAAAGATAATGTTGCACATTACAATCTTTCAGGCACCAGCACAAGGCCACTTTCTCCAAGAGGCAAGTCCTTGGCAGAATTAATCCCTGAAACTCCCTCTGAAAATGTGTGGGAGCATTTCACTCAGCCTTGATGCCTGCCTAGATAAGACCAGGCTTGTTAAAAGTGTGAATATACACATCTGTACATATACAGGCGATTTTTTCGAGGAATCTCTGTAATTGCACTCTTCAGGCTATGATCTGCACGTAGGAATGACTCCCTGCATATTCACTTTGGTCATTTGCAGAGGTCCTTATGAGGAACATATGTAGAACTGTGATTGCTTTTGTGATCCAGAGACGTGACCAGAAAATGCAATCACCAGACAGTCCAGGGCTCATTCAGGAGGAATTAACCATTGATGGAGGATGTGAATGAAGAAAAAATCCAACAAAATGAGCATGTGCACCTTCAGGCTTTAATGTTCAGCCCAGGGATGGGGAAGAAAGCCTTCCTCTGGTTTGGTGCCCGAAGGAGGGCCATCAAATGGCCCCTGCACATTACTCTGAAGCCTGACATTGTGATTTTCTCCTGCCAACAGCCATCTCCTCTGTCCTTTTGCATAGGTACAACAACAGAGAGCTGTGTGCAGCAAAAGCAGCTGGAGAAAATTCGTCCTGGAGCTGATGGCTGCAAAAGAAAAGCCACAGGAATTAGCCAGTGAGGTTCTAGGGCCCCTCTTAGGGTCTGTGGCAAAGAAAGACATCATGCCCATCTCCCTACCCTGATTCTCCATCACCTTTCACCACAGCTGTGTTGTGTCCTCAGTTCCTGATCTCCTCCATCAGTGCACAGAGGAGAATCCTACCCAGATCCCTCAGGCGTCTTTTCTTCTCTGGGGCAGCCCCTTGTCTCAGCCCAGAGTGAAAAGACACCAAAGTGAGGTACTCCTGGGTGAGAAAATATCCCGGACCTCCCCATCACTCTCACTCCGGGCCTTCCCTGGGTATCTCCAGCTATCCCACCCCGCAGCCTAATCCCTCCACGGGGTATGAAACAAGATTTCCCAGCGGTGCTGCGGCATCCCGAACCTCCCGGCGGGTTCCCGGCGGGCCGGGGCTGGGAGCGTGCCCGGGGGGCGGCATGGGGCTGGTACCGAGAACTCCGGAGGGCCCGGCACCGCCCTGAGCCTCGGTACCGTCCGGTACCTCCTGGAGCGTGCGGTACCGCTCGGAGCGCCCGGAACTGCCCGGCACCGCCCGGAGCGCTTGGTACCGCCCGGTACCACTTCGGTACTGCCCGGAGCGCTCGGTACCGCCCGGTACCGCCCGGTACCGCCCGGTACTGCCAGGAGAGCCCGGTACCGCCCGGTACCGTTCCGGTACTTCCCGGTACTGCCCGGAGCGCTCGGTACCGCCTGACACCGCCCGAAGCGCCCGGCACTGCCCGGAGCGCTCGGTACCGCCCGACACCGCCCAGAGCGCCCGGCACTGCCCGGTACCGCTCCGGTACCGCCCGGCACCGGCCGGAGCGCAGCGCTGCTCGCTCACGGGCCTGGCTCCCATTGTCAGGCGGTGATGAATGGGGCAGCAGCCCGCCGCAATACTCTATTTGTTTTAGAGGTCAGTGTCACACTGAAGGGTATTCTTCACGCACCGAACCGGGGGCTTGGTGCTGACGTGACCAGAGTGGTAAGTGCACGCAGAGCCCCCGGTAGCTCCCATTGTCCCGAGTGGGAACAGAGCTCTTTTGAAGACCTTACCCATAAATTATCTGACACCCCCTCCACTCTCTGCCAGCTCCCCACTCATGCTGTGATTCAAACACCAACTCCGAGGTGATGGGCTTGTGCCATCGTTAAAGGTTTGCTGCTCTCTGGGGCCACAGCTTTGTTCCTGCGGGAGCAGCGCCGTACCTGGGGTGAGCCCCCAGCCCCAGCGCCGGGATATCATCAGCTGGGAGGTGACATTCTTTCTTTGTGTCTCTTTTCTCCCCCTCCTACCTCTAAGCATCATCTAGTCTGATGTGACAGCCCCCAGGGGAATGCACAGTGCAGGGGCAGGGGAAGTCAGCATCAAACAGGACAGGAGGCATCATTCTGCCTGGCTTTGAAAAAAAGGCTGTTTAGATGTTTCTTTCTTTTCCTTTTGCTGATGCTTTTGAGATTCCCACGGGAGCTACAGTCTGAGAGATCACATGTTGGGCTTGCATTTCCAGACAGGACATACATGGGACTGGCTTGGTACAGGTGTGTTTAAATCCTCACCTCTCCCACTTCACAGGCACAGGGAGGACCTACACACTGAGCTTCACCTGTCCAGCCAAATTTTGAAGAGGTTCTCTTATCCCAAATCTTCTTCTGTCCTGGCTGCAAGGGAATACACCAACCGGGGACCATGTAAAGCAGAGAAGGGGATGTTGCAGAAATAGACTCAGTTTTCCTCCTCATTTGGCCTGAATATAACAAAACAGCCACACAAAATGGAGGCAGAGGTCAATACTTTTGAGGACGACGTTGAGACACAAAGCTTTCCAGTTGCCAGACCCACATTTCTTTGTTTAATTTTAGGATGGTGCAATGCCAAGTCCAGATGCCCATGATGCCTGGGCAGGAATGCCTACAGATGGAGAAGACTCCAGTAGGCTTAAACCTGATTGAAGTACATATTTCTAAACATTGACCATACCAATCACTTGTCATGACTCTGGTGTGCAGAAAGTCATGAGCCCTTGCAGCCAGCCAGGTTAAAGCTGATGAATTTCTCTGGATTTTTCTGCATATCCATCCTCGGAGACAAAATGACCTTGATTGCCAGCAGGACATGCAGAGTTCCAGAACGTCTTCCCCATTTGGCACTGCACACCAGAGCTGTTGGAGCTTTCTGCTCCTTTGCACAGTAACATTTGCTGCCATGTTTCTTATTAAGAGTCAGGAATTTGTGACCTTTTGCAGTGCAAAGATCTGGAGATTACTTACCAAAAATAAAGTAGTCTGTAAACTCCAAAACTGCTGCATGTGCATTGCTGATAGAGAAGAGCAGCGAGGTACCTCTCAGTCCAGCCTGATAGGATCTGTGGTTGGGGAGGGAGTGTGCATGTTGCACAGCAGATACTCTGTGTGGGGACCATGAAAAGCCTTTTTTCTTTTCTCACTGAGTGGCTTTTGCTGCTTCACATGAGTCTTTCTGTCAAAACAACCTGGCCTGGTGGAAGTGTGATTAGATATGGCACCTACCCTGGTGAAAATATCTGCACGAGGGGTACAGGCTGTGGTGGGAAGGGGAGGGTGTGTGCTAATCCTTCCATTGCTGGTCTCCTCTTTGAGGCCTCAAGGCTGGCAGAAAGCGTGGAGTAATCAAATCTATTTCACAATCATGTCCTCTCTCCTGTGCTTGGCTTGTCCAGGAGCAGGAGAAATTTCAATGAAAGTAGGTTTTCTCCATTGGGTTTTTTCCTGTACAAGAACTGGGGGCATCAGAGTGGAAGGAACAGAAGATCTGTTTAAAACAAGCAGCAAAAAGTTCTTCAGTGTGTACAGAGTTGGGCTGCAGGTCACTCAAACCCATGCAGCCAGCATAACCCTGTTCAACTAAGGAAGTAGTTTATGATACATCACAGTAATTTATTTAAATTGGGGAATTCTCATCCTCCAGAATCAATTCCAGGAGATGGGACACATCTTTGGGTCCACGCTCTTGGTGGATTTAGCAAGAATGCAACAAAAAAATGAAATCACTCCAGACAGTCTATGTTGACAACATGAAACAAACAGATGAAACAGGGTGAGATGATGAGGTAATTAAACAGATAAATGAAGAACTCATGGCCCACTGAGGCTCACAGGAACAGTTCTGTGCAGGGTCAGTAAAGGTGATCACAACTTCCACAGATGATATGGAGGCAGAATGAATTTCCAGTGCTGTGAACTGCTCAGAAGGCAAATATTACTGCTGGATGAGTAAAAAGGGGAAAAAATATGACAGGGTGTACAACAGTGAGCATTGCCTTACCTGCACATGAGCAGGACAAGTCTGGGAACGCAGGAGATCAGGGAAAAGCTCCAGTGATAAGAAATCTGGAAAATACTCCAAAATATCAATCCCTTTAATTTATCCAAGAGAGTAAAAAGTGACTTGAGTGTCCCCTCTGTTTCTGTGTGGGGCCGCAGGTGAACACCAGAGAAAGAGCTGGCAGCAGCCAGATGTTAGAGATGTGTCAGACAGCATTTGCCTAAGTGTAGACAAACACATCTCAGTTTAGTTACCCCAGGCCCTGGTATTGCCACCAGATCCCCAGCCAAGACTGAGATTCCTCCCAGCCTAAAGCAAACAGGGAAGATGGAAACCACAAGCAAGTGTTTTTTTCCCCCTTTGAATCAGAAAGGAATCTCAGGCAATCAGTTCAGCTGTGGATACCTACACTGTAAACACTCACATTTAGGTAAGATGAATCCCACCAGTTCAGGCTAGAAATGATGAACACACTTTCTGATGGCAAAGGTAATGAACCATTGCAACAACGTATCTGTGGATACCGTGGAGTCTCCATCATCCAGGGATTTAAAATGAAGACTGAGCATGTTCTAATAGAACATGCTGTAGTTCAATCAGATGATGAAAACCAGACACAAAGTGGCCCTAGACCATAAACCTCTTCCCTGTGTTGTGTGGGGGTCTGGCAAGAACCATCTCTTCCAGTCTTTAAAAGATTTTGAATCAATGTCACAAAGAACTACTAAATATTGCATCAGTTCAAGATCTACAGATCATGTTTGGTATTCAAATACACCTTGCACAAGGCCACTTGGAAAATTAGTATTTTCAGCCTCTCACACACTCCTTTTCCTTTTCTAAATAAGAAAACAAAGCAAGTAAGTGAGAGGACTACTCTGCATAACTATGGCTTGGATCTTTGCTGGAGCTGAAATTATTTCTGTCTTGTCAAAGGTGCAGCAAAAAAAGTAGCAGTGGTCTTGTAAAAACCAACATGAAAAGAGCATTTGGTTTTGTCAGGTTTTTCCTGTTGTGCTTTGTTTTCAAAAGTTGCCTTGTTTGAAAGAGGGAAGCTGTTTGGCCACAAAATGCAACTGTCACCTCTTGCAGCCCGAGACTTAGAGCTAAAAAAATCATTGGGAAGAGGGGGAGGGGAAAGGAGAGTACAGCCAGATCTTGAGAAGTGATCTATGGAAATTCTCCTCCAAAACCACAGGGGAAGGGAGCAGCCATCTCCATCCCAGCAGCCAGAATTGTGCAGAAATGCTCTTTGCACAAAGAACTCTTCTCATGTCTGGAGTGTCCCGTTGTGGGAATCACATCCACACCGTGCCTGGATGTGGATTATCTGCTACATTTTTTACTTAGAAAGTGCCAGTTAATTGCACCTCTGGCTTTCAAGGAAGTATCTTGGTAAGCATGTCCTCTCTGCCAGCTTGTCCTACAGTGTCCCTTCAGCCTCTCCTCTTGGAACTGCTCCACTGTGGCTCACAGCCCACTGGAGATGGGACTGGGATCTGCCACACGCTGTGCAGGAAGGACAGAGGAGCTGACACACACTCCAGCTTGAACAACAAAACTGTGTCCTCTCCTCCCAAGTTTATTTGTATTTTTCTGAGGTCAAAACCCTAACATATTCAGATAAAGCAAACTCAGAGGGCCCTTTAGTGTAGCATCAACTCCTTGGCTTACAGATAATGTGATTGCATGTAGGAATCGTGCTTGGCTCACCACATTTTTCTTGCAAGCATAACAACAACATGATGGTGAGGAGTGACCACAGTGGGATGCAGAGCAGCAATGCTGCCGAGAACAGTCCTGGATACAGTTATCTTTTGAGTCACCCTTCCTGTCAATATTTATAGAGAAATAAAAGGCTCTGGCTGGAAATGAAGAAGGTTTTTTTTACTGGAACAACAGGCTCATTTTGGCTGCTAAAACAATCCACAAAGCCTTTTAAAAGTGATCGCAGGCTGTGAATCTATCACTGGGCACGGCAACTTAGAAACAAGTCCTCCACAGCTTGAAACCCTGAAAGATGGATGGAAGGATTTTTTCCATAATAGTGGGAAAACCTCACTCAAGAGGAGCAGTCAGTCCTGCACCACCTTTGCTCTCAGTTTCCTGGTCCATCACTTGGTTTCCAAGGCATGACTTCCCATGGAGGTTTCAGACAAGACTAGAGGACCTGAAAGCTGGAAAACGTGAATACCATGGAATCATAGAACCATCAGATGATTGGGGTAAAATGACCTTAAATATCACCCTGTTCCAACCCCTCTGACATGGGCAGGGACACCTTCCACTACACCAGGCTGCTCAGAGCCTCATCCAACCTGGCCTTGACCACTCCCAGGGATGGGGCATAATGTATTTCTTTTCCTCACGTCAAGGGGTTCAAGTAGTCCTGAAGAGGGAAGAGAGAGCTATTACGATGCTTGGCTGTGACCTTGCATCTGTTCTGCAGTGATTACACACCTTGGCTGGCAGGCTCTTCCAAGGTGGCTCCTCAGAGTCTTCTTTCAGGACAGTTTCACTTTGTCTGACTGCACAAACATTTTGCATTCAGGAGTTCTACACAGAAACAAGGGTATAAGATAATAAAAGATGAATATTCTACCAGGCTGTGTGAGAGACCAAAGTGAACAGAAGAATACAAATAACTCCTCCAAAGATATTAAGTGCAGAACATGCCTCTC